GGTAGTACCTTCATCGCCTGTATTAATTACAAGGCTTGCTCAGGTACACATGCAAACAGAACACCAAGTAATTGGTGAAATTTCCTGGGATCATTTCCAACAGTTAAAGAAAAAAAAATGGAGCTAACGCTACAACTTGGACTGGGCTACAGAGGGGTGTGGGTAAAACCCACAGACACAAACGTATGGCGTTGGGAGTGGCAAGTGGGAGGCCGGGGGCCAGGGGAATGGGCCTGAAGACCAGATGGCACTCGCCGGTTGCGGACCACACAGCAGTGTGTGGTGTGTGCAGTGCCACTCGATGCAAGACAGCGGTTTTGCTTATCTTCCTGCAAACAAGAGGCCAATTCATGCTTGGGTGGGAGGTTAAGAGAGTCGAATGCTGTTGGAAGGAGGCGAGAGAGTCACTAATGTATGTATAAAGCTCCCTCTCTGCTCACAGCAGGAAAAAAGGAACAAGTGTGGGAGAACAGGTGGATGAGAAAAGCTGATGACCTTCACACCATTATACGACCTGAGTGACTACTGTATGCCTTAAGAAGTGAACATGAATAATATAGACCTTGATCTTGGAGGGGTGGGAGCGAAGTTGGAGCAAAAGATGGGTGAGTGACACTTGAACAATATACCTGTGTCCAAGGGCCAATTTATTACAGAAGCCAGAGCACGGCTGGGAGGGGTGATGGACTGGCCAATTTCAACAGAGGAGGTGACACTGTGACATTAGGCTTTACTGTACTGGAGAGAGGAAATAAAGGACATTCAAGGCAGAGAGAAGAGTTAAAGCAAAGGCATGGAGGTGTCATAACATCTGAAGTGAGGTTTCTCATATCTGAATTCCAAATCAGGGACTTTTGGCTTTTCATTGGACTTTTGCTAAATATTTCCCCTTTCTTAAGCATGCATTTGATTTTTACTATTTAGAATTTCATTCACTAGTACAGAACACAGGTATAGTCATTTTAGGAGACTCAGTACAAATTATAAGGCACTAAGGTTGATCGCAGCTCTCTAGAACCAGTGGAGCCTCTAATAGCTTACTTCCAAGTTTCTTATTTCTCACTCTATTCATACTTTGTTTAAACCTGCTTAGTGTGAACAGGCAAAATTACCTGTCACTTTAATTCTGTTTGTATGGGTCTGGAGAGATTTGATCTCACTTTGGACTGGGTTCTTCCTTCTTCACTTTACAAAAGTATCATCTGCTTTTCTATGACCCTCTGGGGTGCCAACGGTCTTCAGGCATTGCATTTTGAGCTCCAAGGAAGCGGAGCTGGTGAGTTCGACTTATTAAGGAGCTGGAATGTTTATATAAGGAGTAAACATCTGGGGATATTTTGACTCAGATGATGCTGGCAGCAACTTTTGAGAAATTGTCGTCTCTAAAATAGCAGATGGATTAGGAGCAAAATTTAAAAATCCCACTCACCACTCTGACATAGCAACTATAAAGGAGATATAGATGCATCTGAATCGGATCCAACATATGGAAGAAAACAGTCCTAGGTAAAGGTTAAGAACAGGGTAAGAAAGCTAGGAACTAGTGCCCTCTAAAGCCTCCTCTGAGGAAGTCTAATGAGAAGAACTCAGGTTCTTTACAGGTACCATAGTTCTAACAAATTACAAGATTGGAAAGCTGGCATTGAACCCACGGGGACCCAGGGCAATAAAGAGGGCACTGAAGAGTAAAGGGAAGGCCTCTGTAGGACCAAAGCCTTCCTGCTACCTCTGTAGCTCCAGAATGCCTCCCCCAGTCTCCGGTCATTTCAGGTGGGCCCACCCTCCAGACCGGGTGGGGTACAATTAGCTGCTTCTGGCCTGCTAGCGCAGCACATTGCTTAGGTTTCTTTTTATTCCATCACAGGTTTGAGAGCTTCTCATCACCTGAACAAAGTGTATTTAGCTGAAGACACGTGCGTATTCGAAGATGGAAAGACAACTTTTAACATGTACCTGCTAATTTAGAGGTCCAAATAATTTAAAAATAGTTCTCGGTTATCATTAATCATTGAGATTACACTAGGGGCCTGGTAAACCACCCCCACAGGCCCATAGCCTGTTTTCATAGATAGTCTGACTGGAATACAGCCACACTCGTTCATATGTTGTCCATGGCTGCTTCTGTGTTACAATAGCAGAGTTGAATAGTTATAACAGAGAGTGCACGGCCTGCAAAACCTAAAATATTTACTATCTAACTCTTTATAGAAAAAAGTTTGCAACTTCTGGCTATACTGAAGTATCCCAATTTGAGAAAGGTATAAAAAAAAAAAAGTATTGAATTGGTCACAAGAAAACAGTCACCCAAAGAGGACATTATGAGCAGGCTTCCACTCATTACACCTTTTTTTTTTTTTTTTGAGACAGAGTCTCACTCTGTTGCCCAGGCTAGAGTGAGTGCCGTGGCGTCAGCCTAGCTCACAGCAACCTCAAACTCCTGGGCTCAAGCGATCCTCCTGCCTCAGCCTCCCGAGTAGCTGGGACTACAGGCATGCGCCACCATGCCCGGCTAATTTTTTCTATATATTTTTAGTTGTCCGGATAATTTCTATTTTTTTTTTAGTAGAGACGGGGTCTGGCTCTTGCTCAGGCTGGTCTCAAACTCCGGAGCTCAAATAATCCTCCCGCCTCGGCCTCCCAGAGTGCTAGGATTACAGGCGTGAGCCACCGCGCCCGGCCAATTACACCTTTTAAAACATCTTATATCCCCAGTACCACACTCAGGCCACACCAAATGTAAAGGGTTACAAATACTCAGATTTTATTATAAATAAAATACTGTTTTTCTTGAAACATAAAAAATGCCAAGTGTTGCATTTTATTAACCACCCTGGAAAGCAAGACTGTAGAGATTAAGGCAAACAGCTAAAGTGGAGGCACATGTAGAAGGGCCATGGTTGGAATTCAAAGGAAAATTCAGGGAAAAACAGCCGCATGTATTCCCTGTGTCACCCAGCATTCTGCAGCAGCCATCCTGTCGATTTCAGTACATAAAATACAGATAATGGAACTACACGATAATGGCTATATTGCAGGAGTGTAATTAAGGTATCATCTTATAAAGAACTTTTATTTTAAAAATAAAATTCTGTTTAAAAATATATCACACAGTTGGAGAAGGAGAAAAGCAAAAAAAAAAGAAAGAAAGAAACCAAACCAAACCACCCCACCGTGGCCTAAGACTTATCGGAGTGAACTTGATCCAAACTAGCTTGTAGCTTGGCACTCGATCTTCAGTCTTCTTCCGGTAACCTTGATGAAAATGCCTATGGTAGGATGTGGCCACTTAAAAAGAGGAACTAGCCAGGAAACATCAATGTGAAAACTTGGCAAGAGCCATACCCGCTGTGATAGCAGAAGGGGCCGGGGAGAGCGGCAGGGTGGAAGCTCAGGGGTACGCCAAGGCGAAACGCTGTGGCGAACTCCGGTGTGCCCCAATGAGGCGGGAACGGCAAAGTGGGACCATCAGGAACTAAGTCACACTGCCGCTCCCGGCCTGCCCGTCAGCAGCAGTGTTCCTGGTGCCTTTAAAGTGCTCAGTAATAACTAACGCACCCCTTGTAAAATCGACCCATCCAGCTCCAACGATTGCTAGAAAGGACATTCCTCGCTCACTCCTGGCTAGACCCCTAAAGGTGTCAAAGAGCCTCTTGGGCAAAGTTTCCTAGTACCCCATATCCCGTCAACCTGGCATTCCTGCTCTGGGACATCAAGAACAACATCATGCTGCAGTCTTAGGGCCATCAGGACTGCCATGGAAGAGGCTCTGAGTCACCTCTTCACAGAGGCTGGGTGTGGAGGAAAGCAAGTTGATCCTGATGTCAGCGAGTGAAGATGCTGCAAACACAGGGCAGAGAGCAAAGCAATGGGGAATAAATACAGTCTAAAGAATTCTAGATGGATTCAGATGCACTGTGCCAGTGAAGAGGAACAACTGAGCAAAGTAGTGAACCGACAGTGCCATTCTAGAAATAGGACCAAGTATATTTACATAAATTCCTTACTCTATAATCATGATAAACAAAACAAAAAAACATTCACACAAAAATATAAATTTGAAATAATTAATAGCACCAGTGTGTCAGATAATAGTTTCTTTCCCCCCCGCTACACAAAGTACAAAGTTGCATAGTGTTAAAGGCTATATATGAATCTCAAAGGCAGGTTGGTAGGAGGAAGGGGGTGTGTGGCAGGGAATTGTCACACTGTGGTCTTAAAATAAAACCACAGAGCTGAGGATCAAAAGTTGAGAAGCCCACTAGGAAACTCCACATAAAGGTCTTCCCTCTCTACTTAGAGGGAAAGTTTAGCGTGGGTTCAAATCACAAAGTGCAGGAACTAGATGGCGTTGGCAGCTGTGTGAAGTACTGAGTACAAGTATTTGCCACCAGGATTTGGCAAACAACGTGGGACTCTTTGAAGAATCTCTAGAAGATGGAAACATCAGAAGAAAACTGGAGCTAAGGGTCAAATGTTTCCTCTCTCTCCAAGAGAAAAATGGATGCATGGGATCCTGACAGTTCAAGTTGCATCTAAATTTTACCCCTTTGCTAGAAAAGACTAGGACAGGAGGTTTGCTTTTGTTTTGTTTTGTTTGTCAAGATCTTAGGGACCAACTGTTTTCTGCCAGATAACACTAGTTCCAAGACTAACCTAATAAAACAGCTCGAAGAATTAGTTTGATTTTGAAAAGAAAACTTTAGTGGTTATCATATCCCCATTTCTTCTGTGTAAGTTCCATTTATAAAAGTATCAAAAGATGTCTATTGGTGAGTGCAAGCTGCCCATCCAGATTTAAATTATCAGCTGCCCAAAGATCTGAAAAAAAGTTTATCTTCCTAGTCAATCATTAATATACGAGAAAATCTTCAGCCTACTTCAGCCATGTTCACCTGGAGAATTTCATAAATAACTGTATCCTTACCCGTGGATGGCTCAGTGTCCTATACGATAATAGCTAAAACCACTGACGGATGGCTACCGACATTCTAAATGACCAATACCTTTGGCACAGGATGTTTATTTCCTTTTGCTTAGAAGGAAGAGGGGCAGGAGATGCGGATGCATTTGCTTTATCCATGGACCGGATATACTGGCCATCACAATGCTACTGTTAGTAGCCAGACTTTTCCTTCATAGAAACAAGAGTGCTGAGACTGAGGAGGTCCTGCTGGTGTCGATGAGAGGGGGGGCTCCTTGCTCTGCCGTGGCACGCAAGGGCTCACGCGATGTGCTTATGCCACTGCACAGTGACGCAGGATGCCACGTCCTCACGCAAATCAGAAGGGAAAGTGTGGGTAAGGTAGCAACGTGAGTGGAAGAGAGACTTTATTAGATAAAACCCTTTGTTCCCGATTCCGGGTGTTTAATTTGCTTCTCTTTAAACTTTGTGACTTTTCCTGGTTCAAAAGGACAGTGATGGAGAGCAGCAGAGAAGTGGGGGTCTGAAAAATGTAATCTTTGTGTCAAGGCACTCTGTGGCCTCGTGACTGCTCCCCCGTCGGGGGGATGCTGCCTTCCAGCCCTGAAGACACTAGGGCTTTTCAATGGACGGGGTGTTGAAGCAGCCGGATGGTAAGGTCTTCTTGATGTCTTCCAGATTGCGAATGTCCTTCATGATCTCCTCGATGTCTCGGTTATAGTCCATGATGGCAGCCTCTTGCTTCTTGGCTTCATTCTCCAGGTCAGACACTTTCCTGTCAAGATCGCTGACCTTCATTTCATCTTTGGCTTTGCTCAGAGTGCCTTCAATCTCGTTTAGCTTACTGAGGTCCACTGTGTCCAGCTGCCCTGTAGAGTCAGAACGTACACAGAAAAGAACAGACGCATTCAGTAAGAATTGTAACATAAATCCAGGAGCACCTCCACTAGCCTCTAAGCCCAGCAGCTGCTTCTACACAAAGGTGGCCCTGCAAATGTGACTTGCAGGTTGTTGATGTCATACAGGGCATAAATAATTCACACTAAGTACAAATGCCGATCTAACCCAGCAAGGATGGGTCAGAGCATATAATTAATATAGGGCTGGATGATTTTTTCTTAAACAATGGTCTCACAGAATGTTTTCTAAATGTGCAGCTACTATGTTCTAGATCTTAAGGTGTACACGTGGTTTTGGAGGTTATCTGATAACATTTAATAAGCTTTTTCAGGTTTATATATGAAATCTTTGTGTTACTTTAGTGCCATCAAAGGATATAAAAATCTCTGAGATAGAACCCTAAGCTCTCAGCTCTCAGATTCAAGGAAAGCTGGGTTGGTGTGGGGGCTCACTTCCTACTTTCAGGAGTTAGACACTATATTAAGAGCCTTCCTATGAAAAATGGCCAAGGTCAAAATGCTGAAATAATTTCAGCAAAGCTTCCTTTAAGCTTAGCAAGAAAAAGAGGTTCTTTTGATATAAACTGCTTCCATAATAAACAAAAGCAGACACAATGAACAACACCTTGTGCATATTCTACTTGATTAAATTCTCATAAGACCATTTTATTAAATACATCAGTGATTCTCAGATGTTAAATAATTCCCCCAAGTTTGCAGAGCCTATAGGCAACAAAGCAAAGATTCTAACCCAAGTCTGACTAAGTCCAGCCCTTTCTTTCACAAAAAGCTCGCTCTTCTGGCTGACTTTCATTTTAAACCCATCTGCTGGTACATAACTTATTATTCATGACAGTTGAGACAGATTTAATAAATAACCCCTCAACACCCCCCACCCCACAGAAAACAAAACGCACCAATCTTTAAAGGATAGCAAATTAAAATATAATGCCTTGCTAATTACTGGCTAGGGTATTGACACTTTATAATGGAATCTGGTGACAAAAGTACATTTATCCTAAAATGAAGCCTGCACCCTATCAAACTGGATTAAAAGAAGGTTTCGGTATGCTTATATTTCCTTGAAAAATCAAGGTTTTTCTCTCTTTTGGCATAAAAGCTTTCCCCTCATCAGATTGTCCTTTAGTTAGCAAATGGAGAGAATTCCAGGCAGTGAAGTTATGACCAGTTTTAAGTGTTCTTTTACTCTATCAATGAAATCTTTCACTTTAAATCTCTTAAAGATACTCTCTGCCAGCAGGACGAGTTAAGAAAAATCACTATTTACTTGCACTATGATCCCGCACTATAACTGAGCCACCCTGGCTGGAAGTATATCTTCGAAATATAAAAGGAAAGTCCTCAGATCAGTGTTTAGGGCAGGGTCCATGAAAGGCTCCCACTAGGTACTTGTCAAATTAATACAACCCAAAATCATGATTCAGGTTACACTCGAAAAGTTGATGAATATATCGATATCTTAAAGGCTCCACCGTGCAAGATGCACACTTATTTTATAAGGTATTTTTAAAATAAGAGCTAAAAGAAACATTATAATTTAACAGATGACTTAAAAGGGGTTTTAATAATCCAGTATTATCTGCTTTGAGTCAATGATACCACATCAGATCCCAAGAACAGTACAACTGATTCACAGACCACCTACGATGACTGTGGCTCCTTACCCAGCTGCTCTAAGAGGTCATTAATAATGTTGAGGAGGCTGGTAACGGAGTTTTTGGCTTTTCTGGCATTGATCTCGGCTTCTTGAGCAGCCTGTGAAGCCTGGAAAAAGGATAAATAATATGAATAGTCTTTTTTTTTTTGGAGACAGAATCCCTCTCTGTTGCTCTGAGTAGAGTGCCGTGGCATCAGCCTAGCTCACAGCAACCTCAAACTCTTGGGCTCAAGTGATCCTCCTGCCTCAGCCGCCCAAGTAGTTGGGACTACAGGTGCGTGCCACCAATGCCTGGCTAATTTTTCTATTTTTAGTAGAGACAGGGTCTCGCTCTTGCTCAGGCTGGTCTCAAACTCCTGAGCTGAAGCGATCTTCCTGCACTGGCCTTCCAAAGTGCTAGGATTACAGGCATGAGCCACCACGCCCAGCCGAAATGAATAATCTTGAGACTACATATTTTCATCTTCTTTAAATAATTTTTTTTCCCAATGAGCCAAAAAATCTAATTTCCAGGTGCTCTCCCCTTTTCCAACTCATGAAATTACAATCTTTCACTGCAAGTTTTTGTTTTTTGGGTGCCATATCTTCATGTTTGAGAAAGTTGCTATTTCTACTTACTGTGGTCATGAATACGCAGTTGGCATGCTACACTCACTATATTTGCATTTCAAAAATCAAGATTATCTCCTTTTCTCACTTTCCTTCTAAAGAATACATGAAAGTATATTCATAAAATCCATCAAGCAGAAATAAGTTATTTTTTAAAGATGAGTATGGAAACTACATTTTAGAACCAAAACAGGCTTTTTTGGAACACTCTTAGGGGCTTATTAGAAATATCCTGTTCTTAGAAAATTTTCATAATCAAGTGAAGCTCTTCTGTAAACTCCCCCTTTTCACAACCACCCAGCCACAACCTCCTTCCACCAACACACGCATTCATTTATTGGGGTAACATGATTTAGATTTTAAAAAGCAACCAAAGGTAAATATATTTGGGGAAATTCCATGAAACCTGAACAAATACACTGTGTATGAGTCACAGGAAACAGCAACAGGAGAGGAAGTGTCTAAGTATCAGAAAACAGATGCTCTCACAAATAAATCTAGTCAGGATATAAATGAGTGACTTTAAGCTCCCTAAGACATAATTATTTTTTCTAGTTTTGAGTGGAGATAATACAAAAATTTTGGGATCAAAACAATGTAAAAATTTTAAAAAGAAAAAAGCAAGCAAGGCAAAAACCTTCACAAATAAATGATTAATCTCTGTTCAAGTCACAGCTGTGCTTGAGCCTTCACAAGCTCGTCTGCAAGCGCACTCGGAGAGCGAGGAAGGAGCTCGCTACGGCCTGCCAAGAGCAACACTACTGCACTCTGAGCCTGCGTCTCCAGCCTCCTTCTTCCAGGAGCAACCACAAGTCTTCACGCTTTTAGTCAAAAAAAAAAAAAAAAAAAAAAAAAGTTACAGACTCAAACAATACTGGCCAAATGCTGGCCTTTCTGAATGGATATAAATACAAACGGGACAGTGTACGTGAGTGGTTTATTTCCTTAGAAATTATTTACCAAAAGTAACAAAAGATGGACCTTCTTTTCACCCTTTGAACTAAATCCATACCCCTTTTTGAAGCACAGAAAAAATATATTCTTTTCTTTCTCAATAGGCTCTAAATCTAATGTTTCTACAACCATATTAAAGATGAAATCCATAGACCCTCAGCACAAATAAGAAATATCTATTTTTATTATATGGCAATTTCCACTTGAGCCACACCATGCCACAGAAAATTAGGACAATGCAAACCTAAAAACAACAACAAAAAAATCATAAAATCAGGTGTTGCACAGGGATGCTTCCTGTTATCACTTCCCTAGATTGTTTTCTTTACTGAAGTTAACAGGCCTTGTATTTCTCCTTCCCATCGCAAGGTGAAAATGACCCACAGTGAGGGGCCCTGATTTTTAGCAATAGTGAAAAAACAGCCTCTTCCCTGCATTGAAAATGTGCATGTCAATAAGCACATGCATACCATTACTGCTACACTGACTGGGAAGGAATAATCCCATTCTGACTCCACCGAAGTCTTTCCACAGCAAAATACAGCATAGAACAGAAAAATGAACCTTCGTTCTTTCTTGCGCCATGCATTCGCACGTCAGTTTTGTTATAAATGGTGTTATGTATACACAGTATCACATAAGGGGAAAAATTAAACTGGATGTAAGTGTGGTATGTGTTGGTGGGGTGGTGGACAATGCTACCTTCAAATATTTCCTGTATACAAGAAACTGGTCTTCCCCTCTAAGGAGCTAGTTGCTGGCAGAACAAGAATAGGAAGGAAATTAACTTTTCGTTGTATCCCCTTTTGTTCCTTTTTGAATTACTCATTCAAATATATAAATACATACTTTTAAATGTCCTAAAACTTCAAATGTGTTAATAATGTTTTGCTTCTAACTGAGAGTTGCTTTGGGACAGGACAATTGTGCAAGAGAAACATCTGGCAGAAGATCCAAATTCTTTGTCTTCTATGTAAGCTACTAACCCAATTCTTGACCAGAAAATGTGATGAAAACAGAAGTCGATATGAAAAAGACTCTTCTCAACAAGATGGGATCTTTATTATTAAACGCCCTTCACTTTCTGCCACAAATACGCCCAAACCTCTTACCATCCCGGCCATCATCATATCCTGGTCAGCGTCATCTTGTTTTTTCTTCAGCTCTTTTTCTGCTTCCTGTAGCTGCTTCAACATGTTGTTCACCTCATTATCCAGATCTGTAACTTCTGCAAAAGTTCTGTCGGCTTCTGCCTTGGTGCTGGTGGCATTCTAGGCACAAAATAAGTGAATTGCTAATAAAAAAAAGTCTTCCTTTTTCTAAAGTATATTCTTACTTCTTTTATAATTACAAAATGGCTCAAAAGTATAATCCAGAAAGAACAATACATTCATGACTTATATTATCATTCATTTGGGCTCTAAATAACAGTAATAAAAAATAACATTACTACCTAACATAATAGCATTTTGTATTTTATAAAGCACTTTCACTTGTATCATCTTTTTTAATCCTGGAAACTTCCTGTTCCGTTACTGCCATTTTTAGCTGAGGTCACCCTGCTAGCAAGTTATCAACATTCCATGGTGTACATTTTCCACCACATCATATTGATCAGATGCTTTCACTTGGATAAATTTTAAATTCAAAGTTAGCTTCATTCCTCTTGGCAATTCATCATGAGGTACAAAAAGACCACAATCCTGAAATATGAGTATTTTATATAATGTAACTAATCCAAAAGCAAATTCTTCTAAAGAAACTAAAAATTATCTGTGATTCTCAAATACCTAATTGTAGAATTGCTCCAGTCTCTCCATTAAATAAAACAAATAGATTAATATTGAAATAGGAAAAAGCCACTCACTAAGATGAGCATAAAGAAACCTAGCAGTGACAGCTACAGCAAGTACAGACTTACAGGAGGGGCTTAGATACGGCAGCACGCTGGAAGGGGGGCTGAAAGTTGTGCTGATAAGGCATTCTACATAATGCTGAAAAAATCACCAACTGTCCAGGTCAAAGAAGTATGTTTATTTAGGAAGAGTCTGATTTTTTGTGGGAAAGGGCTCTACAGCCCGCTGAAGCCGCCCTTCTTCCTGACAACTCACAGACTCCACTCTGGGACACAGTAGAAATTTTAGAGTTAGAGGGCCTTTTTATTGATTCCCTGTCTTCAACATGGTTACTTATATTATCTAACATCTAGAGTGAAAAAAAAAAAAAGGATAAGTGTAGTTTAAGACAGTTTTACTGGAGTCAAGGAAAAAATCTGCAAGGGCTTTTGGAGTCTGGAAGGAACCCAGGAAGTGACAGAGAAGCACACGGGCAGAGCTGTTCTGGAGCAGAGGACAGCGCACACCTTTTGGACTGCACTCGCGATCCTCTCTGCCTCGTGGGCCTTCTTCTTGGCCTCTGTGGCATCCTCTGCGGCATTGCCCAGCGCCAGCTGCGCTTCCCTCGTCTTCTCATTGGCTTCGGCGATGGTCTGGTTGATGGCAGGAATCTTCCTCAGTGCCTCCTCTGCAGCCGTCTTGTTATCGTTCACGCGTCTGTCGAAATCTAAAACGAGTTCAAGGAATGCCTTTGAACTGAACTCCCAATATGCAAAAGGGGAACCTTTTAGGGAGCTGTAACTGGATTGTTTTCCATAAGTAATGAAAGCCAGGGAAAACAATGGAAAACAGCTTGGGCTGAATCTTGGAAGAGCAAAGTACCCATCTCTACACAGAAGATTTCCCAGGAATAATCATATGAAAATGTATCTGTTTCTGGAAAGAGAACTCTTACTTGAAAAATGTGTGTTAACACAGAGTGCTAAGCATGCCTTTATTACCACCTCAACCAGTATTAGAAGGTGCGATTTATTTAGTGTTTACTGTGTCAGGTACTAAGAGCTTTCTGTCTCTGAGATGCAAGCTGTATCACTTTCACAAGTGAGACAACTGAGGATCGAAGAGGTTAGATAATTTTTGAAGCATGGATTCAAACCCAGGTCCCCTGATGCCAGAGCCCCTACTTTCAACCATTATCCTATAAAGTTTCCATATTTACAGAACTTCTATCTTACCAGAAGTGAATCTAGGGCTACTCAGTGAACATTTCTATCTAGGATGAAGGAAAAAAGAGTTAGGTGCCACTGGCAAAGAAAGAAAATGAAATCCCTTTACCAACATAAGTCAGCTAAATGCTATCTTGGTTATGTGAGTGACCCTAACATAAGAAAATGTTATTTTTTTTTTTCTTTGGTTTTCATACCGAAGTATGCAGGGATAAAATGACATGAGCTCTGGGACTTTCTTTGAAACACTTCAGCATGAAAAAGTAGGGTGTTGGGGATGTGGTAATAAGTGCGGTAAAAGCCACGATTTGAAAAAAAGGAAATCACCCCAGTGGAGGAAATATACAAATTCACCCTTGTTACCTCAGCCTTTCCTACCTTTCAGGTTGTTGAGAATGTCATTGGCTTCTTGCAAGGTATTTCGTCCCTTTTTGGCAGCTTCTTCCGCAAGAGCCTTGGCGGCATCGGCTCGGGCTAGGAGTTGGTCCGCGGTCTGCAAACACACAGCAGATCAGAGGACGAACCGGCCAAAGCAAATCCCTTCTCTCTCCTCACAGACAAGGCTTCTCAAAGCTGCCACCCTGAGACTTCCCGGCACACGGCAAGGAGGCCCAGGCATCCCGTGGAAGACCCTCCTCCACAGGCTTTGCGGTCTGCCGCCGCTGCAACCGAGCTGCCATCGCGGACGCAACTCACACCGCAAACACTGCCTCAAGAAAGGAAGCAACCTCCAAGTCGAACCGACCTGCTGTTCGGTCTTTCCTTTCTCCAGAAGGTTCTTTACTTCAAGTTCCTTCCCTCTCATGTCTTCTCTGAGGTCCTCATAATCTTTTAACTTCTGGTCTATCAGGCGGTCCAGATCCTCGGCTTCCTTCTTTATTTTATTTGCTTCATTCTGTAAAAAGCAAGTAAGATCACTACATTTCTTTTTTTTAATTTTTATTTTTTTTCCACAAGAAAATCGGAAGAGAAGGATCACTACATTTTAGATAAAATGATTAAACTGATGAAGAGGTATGCTTTGAAATTCTGTAACACTTAATATTCAATAGACATTTTTTTAAAAGAATACCACAAGTCAAGACTTTATGGACCTCCTTAAAAAAAAATTGAAGTATACTTTACACACAGTGAAATTCACAGCATTTACACATTTACATGTAGTTTGATGAGTTTTTTCTTTTTGGAGACAGAGTTTCACTCTCTTTGCCTGGCCTAGGGTGCTGTGGCGTCAGCCTAGCTCACAGCAACCTCACACTCCTGGGCTCAAGTGAACCTTCTGCCTTAGTCTCCTGAGTAGCTGGGACTACAGGCACGCGCCCCCGTGCCTGGCTAATGTTTTCTATTTATTTTTAGTTGTCCAGCTAATTTCTTTCTATTTTTAGTAGAGACAGGGTCTCGTTCTTGCTGAGGCTGGTCTTGAACTCCTGACCTCAAGCGATCCTCCTGCCTCGGCAAGCTTGATGAGTTTTGACAAATATATTTCCCTGCATCACCAACACCCCAATGACGATACAGAATATTTCCATCACCCCAAGAAGCTTCCTTTATCCCCTTCCAGTCAGTCTCCACCCCACCTTTCCAACACCCCAGCTGCCACTGTTCTGATTTTTATCATCATAGTTATTGTCTTGCCTATTTTCAAATTTTGAATATATACAGAATCGGACAGTATGTACATGTCTGAAGACACCTAAACTTTTAGTGTAAAGATCAAGTCAGCAGCTCACATATGGGACGTGAAAGGGTCTAGGTGTACTCTGTTTTAAGTCATTCAAATATATTATAATTTGGATTTGTATTAAAGATTTAGGAATGATTATTTATATCATTAAAGTAGTCTTTGCTATTTAATGTTTATAACCACAGAATTCTTTACCTTGGTAGGTTCTGTTCGTGTACATAAAGCAGAACTCAGCTTTAGCAGTGAGTCAGCGGAGGACAGAGGAGGGAGGTGGGGGCAGTCAGAACGGCTCTGACGCAGACGGAGGGGTGTCTGGGGCGGGGCTGTGCGTACAGGCCGTGTGCCCTACCTCCAGCGCCTCTGAGTCCACAGGGGTGAGCTGAGCCACGCTGGCATAGATCTCCACGGCTTTATCACCTGCCCTCTTGGCCTCGTCATGCACTCGGGCGGCTTGTTTCTCCAGATCCTGTGAGATGTTCTTCGCTTGTTCATACCTAAGAAACAAATGATGTGATTTAATGAATAACTTAGCTGCTTTCAGCATCTTAATGTCAACCAGATGCAGTCTAGTTTACATCACCACAACATTCCCAAAACCTCAAAGGAAATGCCACATTAAAATGCTCTCATTTTAATACCAACAGGCAGCATAAATTTACATTTTATCTCATTACTTCTATTTATATTGAATGTCTTATCATATACTTTCTTATTTCAGATGCCCTTTAAAGATCTGTAGTTTAAGTTCATATGTTTTCTTTACTTACTCTACCATACTTTTTCTCTTCTTTTTTCAGTCATACAAAATTTTCATTATCATGGCTAGTCTTGCTATCATTCTGTGTAGTTACAGTAATTGAATCAAACAAAATCTCTGTGGCTCCACATCCCCTGCTCTAATTATTGCACCATTTCAAAAGCATGATCAACAAAGGAAATCTTGCTGCATGAATGCATGCCCTGAATCCACCAGCACTTGATTCTTCATTGAACTAGGGCTACTTACAAGAACGTCTGAAGCACTGCAAGCCACTTTTAAATTATACTCACTTCCTATTAAGCTCTTCAATCTCAAATGCTGTTTGATTTTCTCCTGCCAGTGTCCTCAAAAGCAGATTATAAGCCTCAGTTGATGTATCATTGGCTGTCTTTGCCACTCGTACAATGTCATCAGCTTCTTGTTTATGGCTATCCAAATAAAAGAAAAAATAAGCCATGAAATAGAACCATCTGATGGAAAAAAAAATAAAATTCAGATAATGCTTATTTTATTATATATAAACATACCAATGTGGGCAGAGTTCTACAAACATTGGAATAACTCTAATTTGGAATTTGGTGATCATTTCAGTGGGGCTGAATTTATGAGTAGCATTCTGTAAAATGAGATAAGGCTATTTTCCAAGAAAATTAATGGTATAAAATTTATGGGGGAAATATTTATAATTCTTCAGAAAAAAACATTTTTAAATATAATTATTTAAGAGTAATTTACATATAAAACCATGTATGCTAGCAAGAATCATCTGTCTAGTCATAAACACAAATCCCAGGCCTAATCTTTATTAACAATAATCTGCTAGTCTAGTTCATTGACTAGATAGTCTTAGAACATCTTTGACTGTTCTGATTTTTCATATGCAGCCCAGCTACTGGTAGGAAAAGCAACTCAACACCAAATGGCAATGAACATGTCAAGAGGGACTCAAGCCCAATAATGCATTTTAGCTGGGTAACTGCTAAGGTTTTTTCCACATCTGAAAAATCCATATTATATTGTCACACTACAGTATGTGGCCATTTTTTTTGGTATGATAAACTTTCATTCAAAATCCTTGTATAAAGCCCATCAGAATTAATTTATCTCCAAGACCTAGTTTTCTTGGGAGCTTTCTATGACGTGTTGAGCTACCTTCTTTTAATAAGAAAATCCAGCTATGAAACCACGAATGCTCTGTGAACTAGATCATATAGCTCACACACTCACATTTACACAGAATAGAAGGAGACCACATATTAAAGCAAGAGACCAGTGTAATTGCTCTGGACACTGAGGCTAAAATTCTAACCTTTGGCATACTTAAGCACCTATACCCACAAGGTCTACTAACTGCTCTACAAAGCATTCGGCAAACACTTATTGAATACCTACTATATGCCAGGCACTGGGGCTTCAGCAATGAATAAAACACACAATAATGCCCACCCCCATGGAGCCTACATTTTAGCAATTTTATTTTTAAAAATCTTTACAACTAATGCCCTCTATAATTTAAAAGTCTTATAAAGAAATTACCTTATGCTCAATAAAAAAGTCTTTAAAAAAAATCAGGAATGAAAATGGTCTGTTTTCTTTGGCTGATTTTCAAATGTACTATGGGTTAGTAAATGTTTTCTATGGAGATTTGAAAATTAAACATTTTTGTTTAAAAAATCAATTAGAAATATTTTAAAAATTAATTAAATTCTACTGAGATTCTTAGAAATCTATTAACTTTGAAATTAAAAAATAAAAATGTTACGGTTTTCTTTGAGATGTGCAAATATAATTTCTCTTCAAACCATCATATTCTAATGTTCCAAGTGAATATTCTAATTTCAAAGTATGTAGTATCCATTAGGTAAGTTCTCATCCACACCCCTCCCATCTTCCCACTCTCCTATGGGTGAGGGTTAAAAAAAAAGCTCAGATTGCATCATTATGCAATATATCCATGTATTAATAACAAATCTGCACATGTAACCCCAAATCTATAAAAATGTTTTTAAGAAGTAATTTCAAAGTAAAAGGAAGAAAGAGTACACATAGCTGATAACGTTTCAGAAGAGAGCCGATCTTACAAAAGCAGGTTACGTGGAAAGTGTTTACGGGTTATGGGACAGACAACACACACACACCATAAGGCAAACCACAACTTAACCATTAAACAGGGATCTGGAGGTTACCGTTCAGCAAGCTTTCGAGCCTCTTCTGCCAAAAGAGTCATGTTGTTTGGGTCCCCTGTAGACTCTGGCTGAGCAACTGACTGAAGAAGAAATAAAGCACTTATTCTCAAAGGACTGAATTATTAAAATTTAATACAGCAAGTGTTCAAACTAAATTTTTACTCATATTAGAGGGCAAAAAGAATGCCTTTTAGTTTCAGAGATCTTTGCTTAATATCAGTACCCCTGATTGCAGTTTATTTCTATTTTCAGTAAAGGATACAGGAAGATTAAATTGCATAGTACCACAGAAGGAACAAAGCTAGAGAAAGAACCCAGATGTCCCTGGTTTTTTTTTTCCAGTTCATAACTGTGTCATGCCAACTATGAGCAACATGGCTTTCTTGCTCACATTTAGGGACAAAGAAAAAGACGCAAGGAGTCAACTTAGCTGAAGCACTCCACCGCCAGCAACAGACTTGCTACAAATTACCAAGGGACGCCCCAGCTCCACCTCAGACCTTCACAATCACTCACCACGTTGGCAGCAGCGACTCTGGCTTTCTCAAGTTCTCTGGATGCAATTTCAATCAACTGTTCTGTGTTCTCAACTCGGGCACGTGCTTGTTCAGCCAAGTTTCCAGTCTCTTCAATGGTATTTCGGATATTCTGTAAACGACTAATTTGGCTGGACAGAGTGTTATTCACTCTCTGGAGGCGATCCATCAGATTTTGGTCTACATCTGAAACGGTATTACAGAAGAAAGTCCGTAAATTATCTGAAGGGGACATAGCATCTCATGTGAAATGTGAGGCATTTCTTTACTCTTCCAAACATAGCACCTTTCTGACAAGTTTGCCCTGAGCCCACCAACAGAGCTCGTCAGTCTTCCCCCTGCCTGGCCGGATCTTCACTGTTACAGCCACCCCACTGTTCTCCAGGCCTGTGCCTGTCTGTCCCACTTCACTGTGAGCTCCTCTTTCTTTCTTTCTTTTTTTTTGAGACAGAGTCTCACTCTTTTGCCCGGGCTAGAGTGAGTGCCGTGGTGTCAGCCTAGCTCACAGCAACCTCAAACTCCTGGGCGAGTAGCATTCTGTAAAATGAGATAAGGCTATTTTCCAAGAAAATTAATGGTATAAAATTTATGGGGGAAATATTTATAATTCTTCAGAAAAAAACATTTTTAAATATAATTATCTAAGAGTAATTTACATATAAAACCATGTATGCTAGCAAGAATCATCTGTCTAGTCATAAACACAAATCCCAGGCCTAATCTTTATTAACAATAATCTGCTAGTCTAGTTCATTGACTAGATAGTCTTAGAACATCTTTGACTGTTCTGATTTTTCATATGCAGCCCAGCTACTGGTAGGAAAAGCAACTCAACACCAAATGGCAATGAACATGTCAAGAGGGACTCAAGCCCAATAATGCATTTTAGCTGGGTAACTGCTAAGGTTTTTTCCACATCTGAAAAATCCATATTATATTGTCACACTACAGTATGTGGCCATTTTTTTGGTATGATAAACTTTCATTCAAAATCCTTGTATAAAGCCCATCAGAATTAATTTATCTCCAAGACCTAGTTTTCTTGGGAGCTTTCTATGACGTGTTGAGCTACCTTCTTTTAATAAGAAAATCCAGCTATGAAACCACGAATGCTCTGTGAACTAGATCATATAGCTCACACACTCACATTTACACAGAATAGAAGGAGACCACATATTAAAGCAAGAGACCAGTGTAATTGCTCTGGACACTGAGGCTAAAATTCTAACCTTTGGCATACTTAAGCACCTATACCCACAAGGTCTACTAACTGCTCTACAAAGCATTCGGCAAACACTTATTGAATACCTACTATATGCCAGGCACTGGGGCTTCAGCAATGAATAAAACACACAATAATGCCCACCCCCATGGAGCCTACATTTTAGCAATTTTATTTTTAAAAATCTTTACAACTAATGCCCTCTATAATTTAAAAGT